TCTATTGTTGTGTTGCTTCGGTGAGGTTTGAAGCAGAGTTTGTTTCAACTCTTTTAGAGCCGTGACTTCATTGCGTTACAAAGTATTTTTTGGCTTAGATGCAGTCTGCAAGTAGCGTTATGACAATTTTCCAAGTACGGTAGCTCTGAAGGGCGATAGAAGACTGAACCGGTGGCATTCAGTTTGATATGAAACAGAAGTGGTTCTTTGTTTTGTCTGTGAAAGGTGTAACGGAGGCAAATTCGTCTTGCGAATAAATCTCGCAAAAGTTGGCCTGACTTTACAATCGTTTGTCACGGGTGTTGGGATGAATTTGAGACCCTTTGATAGCACGCTGACTTGGCTGTCAGATGGTTGATAATTTGAGAGGTTTTTTAAGAAATTTTCATTTTCTCGGTTTTTTGGCTGCAAGCCTACATTTTAAAGTGTTTCTATGCTCTGTGTCTTAGGCTGTTTGTTCTGCTTTCGCTGATATTAAATCCAGCTTTTTTTAGAGTCAGAGCACACCGTTATAGTTTTCATCTCTTTTGTATAAAAGTGAGCTCTTTGAGGTCAGAAATCTCAATCCTCAATTCGGCTATTTTATCATTCTTATTTACAATGTTCATCGAGTACTTTCCTTTGTGTAAGGTATTCTGCCAGAGAGTTGTTAAAGGTGGATATTGATCAGCTCATATGTAAAGGTGACAAAACCCGTGAAGGTTCGTAGACTTCGCTTTCGTCGAGATCGCACTGAGGACGGTATTTCTTTTCCCTTCTCTTCTTGAACGGTAGGCACTGAACCCGACAGAATTCTTCGCCTAGATCCTTCAAAGTACACAGACCTCTCGAAACAGAGAGGTGTTCGGAGTAGATCACAAATATTTCTGCAGGATTAAAGTTTACTCAGCAAGTTCGCACAAATCGCATCCGTTTTCCCCACTCGGATCTATTTGCAAGGCTCCGATGCAGAGAAATGCCTGCAGCATAGTCTGCACGATTACTTCAGCTTTGAATTACACATCGATGCCTCGTCATTTTTGTATAGTTTTTGTAAGAATAGAGTAAAGCACTCTTATGTTTGCTTGACATTGAGCCATGCGAGATTTTTGCGTTGAGCCTTTGACGTCACTTCCTCTGAGTCCTGCGATCAACTTCCGGAACAGTCATGGTCAAATAATGGCGGACGCGAAATCATGGGTTTAACGGCCCGAAAAAAGATATTTCTGGTGCTCGGTCTGGACTGAAATTTGGCAGAGTGGGTGAAGGAGACACACTGAACACGAAAATGAAAAAAAAATTGATGTACGAAACTTTTGATCTCAGGGGCACTTTAATGTATCTAAAAATAATAAGATAACTATTAAACTACCGGTACGTCCTGCATTCTGAGGACATATGCCTGTCACTGGAAACCCATCCAACTGCTTAATGATACTGTTACACTAATACATACATGTGGCAGTCAAACACTAAAGCAGTGTAAACTGTAGTTCACAATTATTCCTTTAAGTTACTTTAAGTAAACTACAAGCACTTCTACCTCCTTAAAGAAAAGTGCAGGCTCTAAAAGTCCCACAAAGTGTGCTCACCGTTGAGGTAAGTTGAAAGTCCTTTACAAGTTTCTTCAGTCTTTCACACTCTGAATAAAGTTCTTGGTTCTTTTCTTCCAGCTGTGCCTTTGCTTCCTTTTCTTCAGCAAAACTTGTCAGGAGGGAATTCATAACCTGAATTATGCGAGGGAATGAGTAAAGACAAAGTTAACAATAAAATGAATACAAAATGAATGTGTTAATTTTGCTATGCACATAATGTTCCATAATAACTAAAGTTGTTTTCAATCTGAGTAAGAAAGGTTACTTCTCAGATAAAATTGCCTATGTAAAATATAAATATAAAAATATATCAGTAACAAGTATTCCCTGCTCTGCTCTCTTTGCTTGTGCAAATTATCCATGCTCCGTTGTAAGAAATCACCTTTTGACTAGGAGAGGGAGGGGGGTGGTTGCTTGGTGCCATATTTTGTTATGACTTCCTTTCAATTCTTCTTAGAGGCTATCTTCTCTATAGTACACCTCCAATCAATTCATTTTCTATTCTGTTTATTTCACCTTTTTTTTTCATAAAATCTTAAAAGTACAACATAACGGCTGTTGTTGTTGGCATTCTAATACCAAACCAGGAGCGGATCCAGGAATTTTAGATAGGGGGGGGGGGGGTCCAAACTTTGGTTCAGAAAGGACTTGGACTCTTTTGAGGCAAATTACTTGTCCCCCACACCCCCTCGTGCCAGTCGCGGTTGCACGTTATAATTCCTTTGCCACTTATCATTTACTTGGCTTCATTAAAAAAAAAAAATCAGCCCGTTAAAAAGTAATATATGATCCTGTCGATGTAAGAATTTCAGTCTCAAAGTTGAAAGCCTTACACTTGTACTACAAGGGTTAAAAAACAACCTCCACAGACCTCAACAATACTCTGGTAGTGATTAGCACTTAAAGATTCTGGCTCATCCTTGTAATCATCTGAAAAAATATCTTTGTTGTTTCCAGATTGCAACTGTTGGTTCTCTTTACAACAACCTGATTCATCTTGCTCAGTATTTGCAGTTTTGAGACCAGCTTCTTGGCCATTATAATTCCATGATGTCTTGCCAAAATCTTCTGCCACCTGCTGGCAAGTCTCAGACACAACATCTGGATAACAAGGTACTGTAATACAGTCTTTGTTCCATAAAGATGGAGAGCCACCATTCTCACTAGGAAGGGGCTCATCTGAATAAAACAAACAAGCCTTCGGTGACTTTCGATTGAGACAACTCTTCCCAGTAGGTACCTCACATACATTCCTTTCCACATCAATCTCTTCACAATCAGGGTATGTTTCAATGTGAGAGATGACAGATGATCCACTCAAGAGGTCTGACAAGCTGTGCCTCACAGGACTCTCCTTTTCAGTAATTGTTTCTTTTCTTCTTACTGTTTGAGCCGTTGATGGTGCCAGGTCTGCAACTTCCTCCATAGTTGATGTGTTTGCAACACCAGTGATACTTGAGGGAATTCCACATTCCTTGTTAACTGATGCCCTTTGGAGTTTTGTGGTCAATTTTTTTAATCCTTGTAACTGTTGTTCAGACAGTTTGAGCTTAGGGATAGTGACTTGTAGTCGAGTCTTTTTACCTGTTAGTATAATTCAAGCAAGAACTCAGCAAAGGGAAATAAAAAGCAAAATCCATTATACTTAATTATTTTAACTCAATGCTTACCACTCACTTTCCCTCAGGTCTGTCTCAGTTCATTCCTTCTCCATTTTATTGTTGGAGATTAACAGCCAGCCACTTTACCTTTCAATTCTAAAATTTCTTTCAACTTTTTTTTAGGTTTAAGATTGGTTTTGCAGTTCTCAGTTTCATTCTAGGAACATTTGCACTATCTTATCTTTGCCAATAATAAATGTTCAAACATTAATTTATCATAACCAATTAATCTTCACAGGTGTTTGGTCCCTTGAGGTAAGTGTCATGTTCAGTTACAAACATTTAAACCATTAAACTCCCACGATCTCTTTGTCAATTCTTCCCTTAAGCTGCTACACATTCTCTTAGAAAATATAGTATAAGGTGACAAGTTTCATATTGTTTTGGTTGCTTATATTCTTCTTTAGTTATTGCAAAATAACAGACTACCACCTTTTGCTATCAGCTTCATTACCTGAAGATTTCATCTAACTACAAGTAAGCATCCACCACAGTAAGAATAAAAATCATTCTGGAATGGACCTAGAAAATGTATCTAAATATTTTCTAAATTCGCACCTGTATGACCAACATCATTTGAAATGTCAGAACATCTGGAAAACAATAACAACAACAAAAAAGCAATCACACAACCTGTTTAGAAACTTGTATTTTACCTTGTTTTAAAGGTTGTCATGCTTGTTGAATTTCAAGGATGGGGAGAGTAGAGAGGGGTTGGGGAAAGCTTGTTGGTTGAAATTAGGGCGAAATTTTGTAACCATATTTATTCGTCTATAAGCCGAACTCAGCTATAAGCAACAACCCTAAACTTCAGTCTGTTTCAATCAGGAAGGTTCTTAAAGCATGTAAATTGAAAATGCTTGGCTGTAAGCCAAGACCATATTCAGAGAATTCCATTCTCAAACAAACTGAAACTGAAGTGTTTCAATGCAGTATTGCTGTAAACAACAGAAAACGTCATAAGCCTTTTGTGTTGATGGTTAAAATGAACAAAAGAAAAGCGTCCCTCTCAGAAAGCATGCATTCCCACAGCATTCAATGAATAAATTAAAACGTATTCAAATTTTATTGGTAGTTTAATTGAGAACAAAAGAAATCAACTGATCAATTTAATCCACTCAAGGATATAAAGCAATGCACCGGCAGTGCAAATATTCATCTGAGTTGAGTCAGATGAGTCCATAAATTTAACTGATTCAATTTTAATTGGGTGCAAAAAAAGTTGAAACTCACTTTCGTTTAATGGTATGTGGTATGCTGCCACACCTATCCATATTAGATCAACCACCTGGTGAAAAAAAAAAATTAAATTGAAATTCAAGCCAAAAAAGCAATGCAAAACACAATGCAAACAGTTGTAAGCCACAAAAAACTATCTTCAGCTGCATCTCAAAGTGAGTTTAAAAAATGCACATGGCAAAACATCTAGTCATGAAATGTTTTTGTCACATGTAACTCTGCTTGCACTGCTTTCCGAGTCATGAAAAATCATAAACTAGAAATCCTATGGTGTAACGCACATACAACACATGGAATTATTCCTGGATGCTTTTAAACGTCTCACACTGCTATATAATCTACTGGACACAAGTCAAATTATTCAGGGCTCGAAACTAACGGTAGCCAACTAGCCACAGACTAGTAGAAATTTAGTTTTGGCTTCTGGTTTTTGATTTTCACTTGCCAGTTTAGCTAGTAAACAAACTGAAATTGTTGTAACATCTAAGTTGTCACTAGCCACTTGGCTAGTATGTTGAAAAGTTAGTGTCGAGCCCTGTTGCTGCTGTGTCAAAAGCTCATCTCATTGCAATGATAGTCACAGCTGCATGTAATTACAGTATCCAAGGCAAAGGCAGGCCATGTAGGCCTCAGAGTTGCCATTAGTTTTGATAGTCGAGGCTCCTTGGGACCCCCAGTTCCAAAACGTTGGGGGTCCTTTTGGCTTTTTGGGGGTTCCCTACCTTTTTTTACTAAAATTTGATTTTATAGTTTCTAACAGAGAGGCAAAAGCCAAGACCAGGTGTTAAGGCTATTAATAGAGCTTTAATTTTGGAATAAAGTGTGCTATGTTTCTTAACACCAACCACTTGTTTTTCAGTCGAATCATATTTTAACCATTAAAACTCCTCCAACCATTCAGGACAAAATTTGCATTTCTTCACTTGGGTATCATCCCCCAGATCTGTATCACTTCCAGGTTTCCCCTTTCATATATCGAATAAGCCCTTCTGAGTAGACATGTTCCTGACCATGACAAAATGGCGGGTCAAAGGACATGCCATGATGGTCACAGTAATTCTTGGGTAAGGCCCACCAGACCCAGTCTCCTAACTAGTCCGAACCTTCTTCCTGCGTCCAGAGGACACACATTGGCAAAAACTGTGCGTCCTTTTCGTTTTTTGTGCATATAAGACACACAGCTATGTGTTAACGGGAACTCTGGGCCTAGTGATGTTCCCCTTGAATTCAGTGCAGAGAACAAGGCAGTCATAAGCAATGGCAAGAGTTGAAGGCAGGCATAAATTACAATGACAGAAAATTCTCCCACAACAGCAAAAGTATGCCTAGACACTACCTCAGTGGTGGCTTGGAGCTCCACTAAAAAATTCTACACCTCAAAACAAAACTAAAGTTATCATTAATACCATTAATCTAACTACCTCACAGTAAAATGTCTGATGGAAACAAAATAAGCTTGCACCAACAGTACACAAATTCAAAAAAAGGTATTACAACCTGTCACATCTTAAGCTGACTCACAGATCAAATAAGTGAAAGCCAACAAGCAGAGATTTTAACTCAATAGTAAAATTGATGGCCTCAGTGTACAGAGAATAATGTCAATGATTTGCCCAATGAGCAAGTACTTCTGTCAACAAGCTATTGTTTATGATAACATCACAACAACCTTGGACATCAGGGCTCGACACTAATTTTTCAACTTACTAGCCAAGTGGCTAGTGACATCTTAGATGTTACGACAATTTCATTATGTTTACTAGCCAAACTGGCTAGTGCAAATTGAAAAGCACTAGCCAAAACTGAATTTCAACTAGTGTATGGCTAGTGGGCTACCATTAATGTCGAGCCCTGGACATCCACAATAATAAAATATCACAACAAAAAAACCAACCAACTGTGCATGCTTTTGAAAAAATATTGGCTTTTCTCCTCTATTTCCAGAAATTGTGCTACTATGTACTAGTGAGTAAGTAAAACCTTGCTGATGTTATTTTGTAAGCGCAACAAATTCAATAAAGTACTTTATTTAGACTCGATAAGTATTGAAGCTGTGCAGCTTGTGGGGTCGTGTATAAAATAAAAAGATACATAAACAATAGTTGTAATATAGTATAAAATAAGACTTACGTATAAAGATAAGATAATGTTTATATTAATAATTGATTTTATTACACGACTCGAGCAGTCNTCGATAAGTATTGAAGCTGTGCAGCTTGTGGGGTCGTGTATAAAATAAAAAGATACATAAACAATAGTTGTAATATAGTATAAAATAAGACTTACGTATAAAGATAAGATAATGTTTATATTAATAATTGATAGTATTACCTAACTAATAAAATTATAGACCTAAAAATACTTCCTTTTGGGAGGAGCTATCTTTTACAGAATAAATTAGAGAAGTCAATGCCCCTGACCGAAGGAAGCTTCTTAATTATACAATTATATCTAACAAATTTATTTACATAGAAAAAGGCTATGTATTGAGTTATGTTATATGAAAGGCACTTGTGATACAGTACAATAGCTTGAGGTAATATCTATATCAAGGCAGGATATAGACCTTAGAATCATGGCTTGAGTGATTATAGAGATGCACACACTCTAATTGGTTGTGGAATACCTCATATCTAGCTTTAATCACCTCATGCAAGGTGATTTTAACAGATTTGCACAGGAAAATTTGAAATGGCTGTCTTGCCTTATGTTAATGATTCTGAGAAAGAGATAAAAGGGATAGGAAAAAATTCCAATGAGAATTTGGTGCAACACTTTTCAAAAGACAGATATAAAGTTTTTGCTGATTGACTGATATAAACCTATTAAAACTGCTTGTTTATTTGATACTGGTAATCAGCAGAGTTGTGACAAAATATGTGTAATTTGAAAGCACACAAGTAATAATACTAAGACAATTATTCGCCTCAGGCTCAGTAAATATTGTTGAATAATCCCCTTAACTCTGTCTTGAGGATTATTCAACATTATTCACTACCCCTTCAGCATATAACTGTTAATTATGGCCAGTTCCAAGCCTGGATGAGAAGGGAGGAGGGTTGGGCGTACGGCTAGCAACCCCACCCTGTAAAAATCTTGCATGCTACTGAAACACCAACAACAGACCAAAAGACTAGTGCCCTGAGAGAGGAAGGGACCTTGTCAAGAAGGACATTTGACCCCGTGTGGTGAAAGCCATGAGTCTACGGAAGCCACAAGGCCGACCCCCCTTCTAATTACTAGGACCATCAATATCGGAACATGGAATGTGAGAACCATGTATGAGATGGGAAAAACATCACAAGTAGCTGCAGAGATGAAGAACTACAACCTCACACTGCTCGGAATCAGTGAGACCCATTGGACACAGTCAGGACAATGGTAGGATGGGAAGCAAACGGATCAAGAATCACTGTGGCATCCTTCAGAACAATGGAGAAGACGATCAAGATGAATGTTATCCAGTGCTATACGCCAACCAATGACAAGGGTGAAAAAGCTAAGGACTGGTTCTACAGCAGATGGCAGAACGTTATGGCCACGTACCCAGAGAAAGACGTCAAAATCCTCATGGGCGACCTTAACGCCAAAATCGGACAGGACAACACTAGATACGAGGAAGTGATGGGAAGACACAGACTGGGTGAGATGAGAGATTTGCAGACTTCTGTGCTATGAACAACCTGGTCATTGGTGGCAGCACTTTCACCCACAGAAGAATACACAAGGCTACCTGGGTATCACCACATTGAGTGACTGAGAACCAGGTCAATCACCTCTGCATAGCCAAGAAATTCAGGAGGTCCCTACAAGATGTATGGGTTAGAAGAGGAGCAGATGTTGCATCTGACCACCACCTGCTAGTAGCCAAGCTGAAGCTGAACAAGAACTGGATGGAAGCAACAACAAAGAGACAGAAGTACAAAGTCAGCCTGCTAAAAGACTTTAAGACCAGAGAAGAATTCAAACTATCTCCCACCAACAAGTACCATGTGCTACAAGAACTGCTCAAAGAAGAAGCCACCATGAAGAACCAGTGGCAGAGGGTGAAAGAGACACATCTACTTGCCAAGAAGTAGCAGGCTCCAAGAAACACCAACAGAAGGAGTGGATATCAGCTAACACACTATGCAAGATCTAAGAGAGGAAGCAGAAGAAGGCAGCAGTGAACAACAGCAGGACAAGAGCAGCAAAGGCCAAAGCACAAAAAGACTTCACAGAAGCCATCAGAGAGGTGAAGAGGAGCACAAGAGCAGATAAGCACAAGTACATCAACAGCCTGGCAGAGGAAGCCGAGGAAGCAGTAGCCAGTAACAACATGAAGCAGCTGTACGACACCACCAAGAAACTATCAGGGAAGTATAGCAGGCCTGAGCTACCAGTCAAGGACAAGGAAGGAAACGCCATACAAGGAACAGAGCGACAACCACACAGATGGGCAAGGCACTTTGAAGAGCTCCTGAACAGACCTGTCCCTCCGAATCCCCTAGACATTGACCCAGAAGACACAGACCTGGACATCAACTGTAAAAAACCAACCATGGAAGAGATCAGGAAAGCCGTGAAGCTACTGAAGAATGGCAAGAGATAACATCCTTGCAGAAGCACTCAAGGCAGACCTGGAGACCATTGTGGAGATGCTGTACCCTCTCTTTGAGAAGATATGGGAAGAAGAAGAAGTACCAGCAGACTTGAAGGAGGGCTACCTCATCAAACTACCCAAGAAAGGAGACCTCGACAACTGTGCTAACTACAGAGGAATAACGCTTCTGTCAGTGTCATGAAAAGTCTTCAACAGGATCCTGCTTGAGAGAATGAAAGTCGCAGTCGAACCCCTCCTCCGAGACCAGCAGGCTGGTTTTCGCCAGAACAGATCATGCATGCATTGACCAGATCGCCACCTTGCGCATCATCATCAAGCAGTCTTTAGAGTGGAACTCCTCGCTCTACATCAACTTCTTTGACTATGAGGTTTTCAACAGCATGGACCGCAACACCCTCTGGAAGCTGCTACGTCACTATAGAGTGCCAACCAAGCTGGTCAGCCTGATCAAGAATTCCTACAAAGGAATGACATGCCGAGTGGTCCATGAAAGTCAACTGACCGACAGCTTCGGCGTGAAGACCGGAGTACAATACAATACAATACAATGTTCTTTATTTCAAGAGGGTAGATACATGATTAACCCAGTAAAGAGTTTTCTAACACATGGCCCTCTCATAAACCCACCCAACCCAGCCCAGGGGAGGACATCCATCACACAGTAATCTCGTGTTTGGGAAATTAACGTCTCCTACCCCAAGCCTGCAGGAGATGGGACCTCTATTTATTCGTCCCTATCCGAGTTTGTCACCTTTCCTTTTCCTCCAGGCAATCAACTGGATCATGAAGACATCAACAGCAGACAGAAGAAATGGGATCCAGTGGATACTGTTTGACCAGCTAGAGGACCTAGACTTTGCTGACAACCTGGCCCTGCTTTCCCACAGCCACCAGCACATGCAGGATAAAACAACAGAGCTGGCAGCCACCTCATCCCAAGTCAGTCTCAAGATTCATGAAGGCAAGACCAAGATCCTCAAGATCAATACAGCAAGCAAAGGCCCAGTCACACTACATGGGAGCAAGCTGGAAGAGGTGGAGGCCTTTACATACCTGGGCAGCATCATTGACAGACAGGGCGACACAGACGCAGACGTCAGAGCAGGAATCGGCAAGGTGTGGGCAGCATACTTGCAGCTGAAGAACATCTGGAGCTCTTAAGTGGTGTCAACTCACACAAAGATCAGGCTGTTCAATTCCAACATCAAGTCAGTACTTCTATATGGAGTGGAGACATGGAGGACCACAAAGACCACCATCAGGAAAGTGCAGACCTTCATCAACTGTTACCTGAGAAGAATCCTCCAGATACGCTGGCCCAACACCATCAGCAATGCAAACCTGTGGCAGCGTACCAACCAGCTGCCAGCTGACAAGGAGATCCAGCATAGAAGATGGGGATGAATCGGGCACTTCCTGAGGAAGCCAGCCAACATCATCACAAGGCAGGCACTGAAGTGGAATCCCCAGGGGAAGCAAAAGAGAGGAAGTCCAAGAAAGACCTAGCACCATGACCTCAACACCAACATCAAGAAGATGAGAAAGACCTGGAGACAACTTGAAAGAGCAGCCCTGGACAGAGCACTCTGATGGAATGTTGTCGGCAGCCTATGTTCCAGGAGGAGCAATGGGCTTAAGTAAGTAAGTAAGTGTTCCTGAAGGAATGTTAGCCAATGAAAAAATTTGAAAGGCAACAAAAGCAAAATAGAATAATTACAAGAAATAAAAAATAGACAGTCAAAGACTGCATGTGGTACTGGTAAAGCACAATTTTTTATAGCATTAAAGGAACTTGAGGTTGTATAGTAATGCTACAAGGAAGTGTTGCAGAAAATTTGTCTCACATACTTAACAGAAAACTCAGTTCATCCTACATATTTATGGGTACCCTGTTCCACAAGAGAAAGTTGATTCAAGAATACAAGTATAAAAATTGTCTAATTGACAGTCAACCAATACATAAATGGTAACAAAAAATGGTATCAATAATAAACATAATAATGATAACAATACCAATATAAAAGTAATTTCAAGAGGCTAGCTTGAAAGACCCATGGTTCCCCAATCCTCTGGGGTCCAACGATAATTACCTACTATTCTTTTAATTTGGCCTATTAATTCAAAATAATTTCGTATTTTATTGCAATTTCATTTTACAGACTTATGTTTAATACTCAAAGGCGTTCCACGTTTAAGGATATTCCGCCATTCCACGTGTTAAGATATTCTGCAAAATTCTGCCGATCCACCGTTCTCCATTCCACCTTTAGTGAAATACTTCGAAGCCCGCTTCGCAAATTTAGCGGCTCTTTTCGGCTAAAGTCGCTAATTCAAACGGTAAAATGCCCTCTTTTCAAATGAACAATAAATTTCTAAAAGTTCCCATGATGTGTCGATCACATCTACTAAGAAATTTCTGCAAGGAAAAGTTTTAATTCAAATTATGCGACGGCGAATGCCGCTGTGAAAATATTTTGAGATGCATATCGTCCTTTGGAGTGTCTCAACAGGAACTGAAAAGACTATACCTTCGGATCTACATAACTTCCTGACTTAAACGGTAAAATGCTCCCTCTGTAGAGTAGAAAATATTCCTAGAAGTTTATCGATGCGCCGATCAAACCAATTAAGATATTTCTGCAAGCAGAACTTTTGTTTTAAAATCGTGCACAATCCTAAAATGATTGTGGGATGCTTATCGTCTTCTGCTCTATTCCGTAGTGTCACGGCAAGAACTGAAAATAATGTGCTAGCGGCCATAAGACAAAATCACAAAAGGATAGAACTCAACTGTGTATCGAGTGCGAATGCCGAACTACTAAGATACTCCTAAAAAATAATAAGTATCACCGGGTAATATAGGGTCAAAATTGGGTCAGGATCAGAATTCTGTCGTATACAGTCATTCACTTGCTCATATCAACAAGATATGTGGCCTCGCCTCCTATACGAGGGAACAGCCATAATAATAATAACCATAATGACAACAACCAAAAGTCAAAAACGGCAGTCAGTGTATGGCAAAGAGCTAGAGGTAATTCGTGAATGTTCAGTCAACCGGTGTGATTACGAAATAATGAATACCGTACTCTAAATTTACGTCAACGCGGTCTATACAAGTATCGTCAACGAACGCCATGCACCGATCTCAGATTAATGGCATGTACTAAACCCTAAAACAACAAAACGATTTACCTAAAAACCAAAACAACCGGGGCAAAAATCACCGGAAGAAAGCAACCGGAACAAAACAAACGAAACGTGCATAAACACTTTAAGTCGATCATTTATGGAATATTAACATACTGTAAGTCGGTCTAGAATGTAAAGCAGATAACTTTTATCGCACAAACGTTATCCAAACGTGCTAACATTGTCAACGCACAATATAACAGTGGTTTCCTCAAAATACTCTCAATCATAGAGATCTAGGCCCCAATACTATCGAGTCGAAAAATAGTGAAAGCCCGCCAAAAATGAAAGCGCCTACCAAATTTAATGTATTCGTGCTTGCGTTACTCGAGCTCAACAAGTAGTCCTTAATCAGTTGGAAGGTATTCCTTGGATTGCGAAATTCCAATTTGACGTGGAAACCGTTATTAGTAGACATAGATTGTAGGTTTTCCCTCACCTATGCGTTTGGTATAAATCTTGTTTCGCTCGCTACAGACACTCGCACCTGTCTAACTGTACCACAACGACCGACGGTAAGACGTACCTGTGATTGTGAGTACTTTAAGCCCTGTTATTCCGACGCTTTCTCCACTCAGGCATCGTTTTCTTCGATTCTTGCGATTAACTGACCGTGCAACTCGTCATTTTAGACACAAACAACAATAGGGCTCGATATTCTCATAACAATCCAGATTCCACGAACAAATTGGTATGTGTCAATATCACGCTGTTACTTTCAACCTTGAAACACTTTGACAACTGATATGTGACCGCCAATACTGGAAAGATGGCCAATCAGGAAGCAGTTTAGGGGCACACGTACTCTGTCAAGTGTTCTGGATGACTACGTGTTGATTTTTTCACCCAAAATTGTACGGTGAAGAATATTTGAAAGGGTGAAGAAGCGAAAATAGAATAAATTTTCACACTGTTATGATATTTCCATAGCCAACTGGTCAACCGATACCAAGCAAAAGAGATGGAACCGTGCTGGTGTTTAGAATAATCCTGCACAGCTTCAAAAGAAGAACAATATGATCGTGCGTAAAAGATCAAACAGATTAAAGTCTTCTCTGTTTTTTCAAGATAAGCTCCTTCAAGAGTCGGAGTTACCCTGGCCACCAGCACCTCAACAGCTCTCTAACAACTCTCCTAGCCCCTAACCTTTCACATAACTAGGACGATGAACCACTGGATAGATGGATGGATGGATGGATGACCTCTATTTAAACACGATAACAACTGTGGGCCTTTGCGCACTAGCGAACAAGATTATACATTTGGGTTTGCGGTGTTGGGGAGATCTCAAACCTTACAGATGTACAATCTCTGTAATTTTAAACCGACGGTGTTCGGCAAAATAAACTATTTCCGGTGTTGAAGTTTAAAAGACTAGATTGTGACAACCCGTGGTAAAACAAAATAGCAATACATCCGAGTTGATCTTTAATAAACATTGCCGATTGACCGCAGGCCGTGTTCATTTATATATTACTTGACCTCTGGGCCCACACACACCATCGGTCAGCCAAAGATCAGTGCGTGAAAAAGATAAGCGAAACCAAACCGGGTAAATCCTGTTTTTTTTTCTATTTTATACCGCGGTGTCGGTATGTTGATAAGATTTCTTTCGGTGATGCGGTGTTTGTTTTATTTTGTTTGCGGTGTTGCGGTGTTCAGGACTCCCCACGTCCCCCTCTTAAATTGTCCTAACAAAGGAAACATTTTGTCAGGACAAATTTTGGGTTTCGTCTGTCGCATTCGTATTGAAAATTTCAAAGCTGTCAAATTCCGTCAGCGCTTGATCTGCTCATACGACCGGCCGGCGTAGTTTCCCAAAGGATTCCCTGAACTCTAATTTCCAGGATTCATCTTAAGTCGCTTTGAGAGTTTTGCAACGAAAGACAATTTCTGCCTTTCTAGTATACTGATTTCAGTTCAATTACACACTAGTCGTAGCTTCCATGACAAATGATTGAAAAGTGTAACACGGTTTTTCTCTATTTAGTCGCTTTTCATAAGTTCAGGAATAAATTCATCAACATGCCTCTCAGGTGTGACTGTCACTGTTGTGAGAGTTACACAGTAGGCCATTGTATTAAAATAATTCATACATAACCAAAAAAGACCGGTTTTATAAAAATTGAAATTTTCAGTAAGCGTTCTTCGTTTGATCAACCGCATTCTTTGTTCAGAAGGTCCTTGCAAAGAAACTCTTGAAAGGTCCCTTTTGCAATTGTTGTGCAATTATTTCGATTGTCTCCTTAAAAGAAAGCAAATGAACTCACGCGATGAAGATGGGCTATCTTGCGATACCCAGAATTATCAGTGTGACTTCTACAAACAACAACGGCAAAAACAATTCTTATTCTTTGAACCGCAAATGGCTACAAAGCTAATCGTGGCGGGGCAAGACAAGTACCTGAATAACATAAATCGTGTAGTATCTAAGGACAAGGAGTCGTTATTTACACAGCCACACAGAAATGTGGAGGACTATCATGTAGAAACAAGACCAGATAGGTTAGTTGGGTGAAAGTGCCTAACCGGGTTAGTTGTTACAGGAAAATTTAGCGATATTTTCATGTGTTTGTTTCGAGCATAGTTATTCGTATATTCAAAATTCTAGTCCATTAATATATTTTTCTTTGTTACTTTGCCCTCATTGTACACTTATATGCCAGTAATTTTGTTGGCCATTATTATCGAAATTGTAGGTAAATATAAGTGTTAACGATCTTTCTGCAAAATTGGTTCTCATGGTAGTTGGCAGCTGAGTTTGTCAGTGCTTTCCTTTCATAGGATAATTTTTCCACTTTAACGTTTTCCGAACCTGACAACAGCATCTCGTAGATAAGCAGAATTTTTGATTATTTCTCACTTTTATTTCCTAAGCTCCTCTACCGTAATTAAGAAAGGTGTTTTATGATATCAGAGCTGAGACTTCTGACTTCACTTTGCTCTTTTTGATTGCCTAGAGTCTATTGAACCCGCTTTCTCAGTTTTGAAACTGTTTCCGTCGTATAAACAGCTGGGATATCATTTCCGCTCTTTTATGACCTTCTTCAAAAAAAAAAAAAAATTTAGGATTTATGAAAACAAAACAATACAAAAAAATCTAGAAAATCCAAAACAATAACATAATCTGAGATATTATTATATATTTAAATTTTACACAAAACATTTTAGTTAACTTTGAAACAGAAATGTGTACAACATGGGTAGCTGCAGTCATAGGTTTATGAATTTCCCTGACAAATGTAAATTTTTCCTGAACAGATTTTACAATTTCACTAATTAGCTCTAGTGATGACCTCCGACCCCCCCCCCACCCTCTTTTCAATTATTTATACTTTCAGAAAGTCAAATACAAGGCAAATGAATTGATAGTTCCCGCTTGACACAACATGAAAAAAGGATTGATTTTGTCGGAAACCTTACAACTTCATCTCGTTTAATTTTCACAAAACAACATTAAACAATCCACACTTTTTGTGTGTTTGTTCTGAATTACAATTCAATCTGGAATTTGATAGGTGAAGCGTGTCTAAGTGCATGTGTTGCCACTAAAACCATTTTTATTCATTAAAACCCAATTTATTTTACTTCAATTCATGTCTATGAAAACCCACTAAACTAGAATTGATAAAAAAAAATCTAGTTTTCCTTAACTTCTTTGAAACATAGGCATGCTATGCATGCAAGAGTTAGTTTGTGGATGTGTGGGTTGTAATGATGTTTCCATTTTTCAAAAAGAAAAAGAGCATTTAGTTTCAAAAGAAGCAAAAACAAACCTTCGAATTGATGTGCCGATCTGATTGGTGCAAGAGACGTACCCTATTGCGCCGATCTGATCGGTGCACCAATCAGATCACAGCATTGAGGTATACTTGCACCAATCAGGGCGTCACAGTATCGTCCTTCAAGCCGATCATGTCATGAAAGTACGGTGAAATCAATATGGTATCGACATTTGCAAACACAACATCATAGCCGACGCCTTCCCAAACATACACTCATTCAGATCGATCTAACGCCCCACCAAAGACATAAATACCGATTGAGGACAAGAAAGCCTTCTCTGATAGGGTCCAATCGTTGATTGACGCCATGCTTCTCCATGACCAACAGAGCTTTCCTGCAGATGCAGATACTAAGGCGATATCTGACAAAATTGGCCAGGAGAACACCAAAACAACAAAGAACTCAACACTATCAACTATCGTGTCTCTAGATTTGCGTCTCTCTATCCGAAAAACTTTAGGTGAAGTCAAACAAGCTATAAAAAGATTGAAGAATGGGAAAGCGCCAGGAACTGAATCTATCACAGCTGAACTATTGTAAGCAAACATACAGTTCTCAGCAACAAAAATCCATCAATTGTTGGGAAAAGTATTGACGTTTGAGAAGATCCCCCAACTCTGGAGGCAAGGGTTAATTATCAAGTTACCAAAAAAAGGAAATCTCAGAGAATGCAAAAATTCGAGAGGAATAACCTTACTGTCCATTGTGGCGAAGGTACTAGCTAGAATCATCATAGAGCGAGTAAGAAATGGAGTGGAAAAAAGGCTGAGGAAGGAACAAGCAGGCAGGTTTCGCGGAATTTGCTCTCCGCACACGCTGGTTCAA